TGTCTCCCCGGCGGAGGGTCCCCCTGGTGGAGGATGTACTGTCTCCCCGGCGGAGGGTCCCCCTGGTGGAGGATGTAGTGTCTCCCTGGGGCAGTGTCCCCCCGGATGAAGGGTCCCCCTGGCGGAGTGTAAAGTGTCTCCCTGATGAAGGGTTCCCCCCCGGGTGGAGTTCCTTTCCTCCTGAGGGCGGTCGGCGGTCGGGCCCGGCTCCCTCTCCCGGTGATTGCCGGCACCTGGTCTCCGGGAAAGTGAAGCGGCGGCTCGGGCAGACGGTGGGGTGAGCCGGTCCCCGGCCTCGGGCCGATGAATGTGGGAGTTGCGGCGGGATCGATGGAAGTCACCGAGAGGAAAAGGAGCAGGAAATCGCGTAGCTTCAAGAGAGTGAATGAAGGTGAGAGACAGCGGCCTGGATTAACATTAAACCATTTACCAAGGAAACGGTAACCAACAAATCCATTAACCAGGGAAACATAACCCAGCCACACCATCAACCTGGGGAACAATAACCAGCAAAACCATTAACCACTGAAACATCAAGCAGCAAAATCCTTAACCAGAAAAACATTAACCAACAAAACCGCCAACCTGCGAACATGACGAGATAAATCTTTAACCAGGGGAATACTAACCAGCATAAGTCACTATCACAGATTGAGGTCCTCTAATAGGAATTGGGGAAGGGACATCTAATTTGAAATTAGATTTATTGCAGAAGTTAGGAGTTTCCTTTCTCTAATAGTAACTGGGATCTGGTTTTATGATCGTTTTCAGCAGTTTTGTTTTACCCTGACACTGCATCTTTGCCTGTGCTAATCTTCATTGCACCTCACACAATTTCCACTGTGGGTGTGAAGCAAACTCAATTTCCCCCCGAGGAATGAGCTCAATATCACAGCTTGAACAGCCACCAAACTGAGAGGCTCTGATAGACTCAGTGATGGTAATAAATCCTGTCAAAATGTAAATACTTCCTGATTAAAATTACATCTGAAAAACACCACAAATCAGTGGTAGAGGTGAATACAAGGCATTTGGGCAGGTACGTGAATAGGAAAGGTTTAGACGGATATGGGCCAACTGCAGGCAGATGGGACTAGGTCAGTTTATGAACCCTTGTCAGCATGGATGAGCTGGACTGAAGTGTCTGTTTCTGAACTTTTAACCTGACTTTTAAACACAGGTTGACAGAACGCACAAACCAGATTCTGTACTTGACAAGAACTATTTGTTTATTACAAGTAAATATAATTAATGTTTATTAATGTACATAGATTTGAGCTACAGAAACAATTATGAACCATCAACAGATCACTCTATTAGTTAAAACTCAAATGCATTTGTAAATTCTCCTCTACACATGTACAGAGACAGAAACAAAGAGACACAAAAAATGGGTGTTATGGATGGAGGGAAAGACTGGCAGGTGGTTCATAGTCATACAGCTGTACAGCATGGAAACAGAGCTTTTGGTCCAACTTGGCCGTACCAACCAGATATCCTAAATAATCTAGTCCCATTTGCCAGCATTTGGCCCAAATCCCTCTCAAACCTTTTCTATTCATGTACCCATCCAGATGCCTTTTAAATGTTGTAATTGTACCACCACTTCGTCTGGCAGCTCATTACATACAGGGACCACCCTCTGTGTGAAAAAGTTGCCCCTTAGGTCTCTTTTAAATCTTTCCTGTCTCACCTTAAACCAATTCCCTTTAGTTCTGGATTCCCCCACCCTGGGGAAAAGAGCGTGGCTATTCACCCTACCAATGCCCCTCATGATTTTACAAACCTTTATAAGGTCATCCCTCAGCTTCCGATGCTCCAGGGACAATAGCCCCAGCCCATTCGGTCTCTCCCTATAGTTCAATCCCTCCAACCCTGGCAACATCCTGGTTCAGTGGTCTCTGTCAGCAGGGTTTGCTGTGCTGATCCTTTTACTGATCAGAACGGTGCTTTTTAATCTTCCTTCTCCAGGTACTTCCACTTGGTTGCAGGAGTCCCAGGGTGAGTGGTTCAACTTATAAATATTTCTGACTTATTAGTTAAAGGCCGCAGCTTGCAACAATGGTTAAGGGGAAATAAACAGCCTGAGATGGTTTTACTGCATAACAAAAACAGCTCTTTCCTGCCCAGAAGTGCGATGGCTTCTGACCCAACTATTCACTCCTTCAAGCTGTTCAGCTACCTGGGAACTAAGCATGTAGCCAGGCTGGAATACTCTGTCATTGATAATTGGTCATAAATCCACAGACCAAACAGCTACTTGTTGCCAGCCAAAGCTCCAATTGTACACAATCCCCGGCTCTAATTTGTCTGTAACTAAGCTTTCCCCACTATTTGGGCCAATAGCTGAATAGCTGTTTAACAGCATTGCAATGAGTGTCAGGAACTATCTTCTAAAAAGTGCAGCAATCCTTGGCTCTTTTCCTATTTCAGCCCACAATCAAACAAAACATAAAAATAGAAAGATCCAATCTTTACACTGATAGTTTTAATCGAATTATCTACTTCAAATGAAATTAGAGAAAATGAGAAATTAATGAAAAACACTTTGATTATGAATTCTAAAATTTTGACATATTTATAGAAGGAAATGTATTGGCTCAAATAAGTGTTTATGATAATTGAGCAAAAATAACAAACTGCTAGAATGATAAGATGGGATAGACTTCTCAAGGGTCGAGCTCCAATGAAAGCAGTAGATGCAGTGTATATCGATTTTAGCAAGGCATTTGATAACGTTCCCCATGGTAGGCTCATTCAGCAAATAAGGAGATATGGGATCCAAGGAAATTTGGCTGTTTGCATACAGAATTGGCTGTCCAATTGAAGACAGAGGGTGGTAGTAGATGTAAAGTATTCAGCCTGGAGCTCGGTGACCAGTGGTGTTCCGCAGGGATCTGTTCTTTGTGATCTTTATAAAGGACTTGGATGAGGAAGTGGAAGGGTGGGTTAGTAAGTTTGCCGATGACACAAAGGTTGGTGGAGTTGTGGATAGTGTGGAGGGCTGTTGCAGGTTGCAGCGGGACATTGACAGGATGCAGAGCTGGGCAAAGAAATGGCAGATGGAATTCAACCCAGAAAAGTGTGAAGTGATTCATTTGGAAGGTTGAATTTGAATGCAGAATACAGGGTTAATGGAAGGATTCTCGGCAGTGTGGAGCTACAGAGGGATCTTGGGGTCCGTGTCCATAGACCCCTCAAAGTTGCCATCCAAGTTGATAGGGTTGTTAAGAAGGCGTATGGTGTGTTGGCTTTCATTGGCAGGGCAATTGAGTTTAAGAGCCGTGAGGTTATGCTGCAGCTCTATAAAACTCTGGTTGTATCACACTTGGAATATTGTGTTCAGTTCTGATCGCCTCATTATAGGAAGGATGTGGAAACTTTAGAGAGGGTGCAGAGGAGATTTACCAGGATGCTGCCTGGACTGCAGGGCAGGTCTTATGAGGAAAGGTTGAGGGAGCTAGGGCTTTTCTCATTGGAGCGAAGAAGGATGAGAGGTGACTTGATAAAGGTGTACATGATGATGAGAGGCATAGATAGAGTGGATAGTCAGAGACTTTTTCCCAGGGCGGAAATGACAATTATGAGGGGGCATAGTTTTAAGGTGATTGAAGGAAGGTATAGGGGAGATGTCAGAGATAGGTTCTTCAAACAGAGAGTGGTGGGTGCATGGAATGCACTGCTGGCAGTGGAGTCAGATACATTAGAGACATTTAAGCGACTCTTGGATAGGCACATGGATGATAGTAAAATGAAGGCTATGCAGGGTAGTTTGGTCTTAGAGTAGGATAATAGGTCGGCACAACATTGTGGGCTGAAGGGTTGTATTGTGCTGTACTGTTTCAATGAAGGTTTTGACTTTGTTGTCCCTTGATTTTACTTATTTATGTTTATTGCACTGTTGCCTAAATATCTTATTAAGGGAATAGTGACTTTCCCACAGAAGCCAGTTACCTTCTGTCAAAAACAGTTGTAATAATTGGTTATGGGCAGTTAAACCAAAATTGTAAACATTGACTAACCAGAGGTACTTGTTGCAGATTATCAAGATGATAACTGTTCTGACAGCAGCAATGAAAGCCTAGGGCAGGCACATGACACACTTTTTGTCGCAGGTATGTTTTTGTTTTATTATCTATACGTTGTATGGAAAAGAACAAAATATACGTTGTACAACATGGGATTAGTGCAGTCAATTCTTTGTTGACTGTTGTGGACATGATGTGCCTTCTGTGCTGTAAACACTAAACGGGGTAAAGGGTTATCAGGGTACGCAGCAATATGGAGTAATCGGATCAGCCAAGATCTTATCAAATGACAGAGCAGGCTTCAGGGGCTGAGTAGCTTACTCTTGCTCCTAATTCGTGTGTAAAATGTTCATATACTTCTTGCTAATATTCCTAATGCTTTTCCATTTTTACTATTTGTAGTAATGCTGACTCACCTTGAAGTTTTAGGCTACAGAGACAAAAATAGTTCTCATGCACACACAAAACCCCCTACTGCTCCAAACTCTCTCATCACCCATACACTGTCTATTTTTTGAAAATTTCTTTCTTTGTCTTGTCTATCTGCCAGTCACAAACTAATCCGGTCAGAGATTGCCAATGTGAACTAAGTGTTGAGTCAGTCATTAGTAGATGTGTTCAAGTAGCCTAGTCCTGTGCATTTTTATTTCTTAAAGATATTGCCTTTCCCATAGCAAAGTACAATTGCAATATCTAGTTTACACCTCCACGTGACTCAGGAACTCACGTCCATGGTATAGGTTATTGGTATTATCATGTGCTGTGCGACTGTAGTAACTCATTCCTGTCTTCTCGCACCAAGGCAAGAGCTGAATCATAGAATCCCTACAGCGTAGAAACAGGCCCTTCAGCCCAACAAGTCCACACCGACCCTCAGTGAAGTCGACCCAGACCCATTCCCCCTATAATCCACCTAATCTACACATCCCAATTTAGTATGACCAATCCACCTAGCCTGCACGTTTTTGGACTGTGGGAGGAAACCGGAGCACCCGGAGGAAACCCACGCAGACACGGGGAGAATGTGCAAACTCCACACAGACAGTCACCCGAGGGTGGAATCGAACCTGGGTCCCTGGCGCTGTGAGGCAGCAGTGCTAACCATTGAGTCACCGTGCCACCCCAATTCTTTTTTTGCCAACTCTTGTACTCAGTACCCCGTCCGATGAATGAAAGCATGCCGTATGCCTTCTTGACCACTCTATTGACCTGCGTTGCCACCTTCAGGGTACAGTGGACCTGAACACCCAGACCCTTCCGTGCATCAATTTTCCCCAGGGCTTTTCCATTTACCGTGTAGTTTGCGAACTATAGCTGAGTTGGGAAAGAGTGTACCACTTATTCATGTTGCTTTTACAGGGTCATCTGTGAAATAATTTTGAAATATTTGCTCAGGATGGAAAACAAGTAATGTTATTTTGTGGAAGCTAAAACTGGAAGGTTCACATTATGTACAGAATCATCAATATGTACAGAAGGAGGCCACTAAGCTCATTGAATCTGCACCTAAATTCCCTCTAATTTTATTACCTTCTGAGCAGATCTCTGAGGTCAGTATGTGGAATTGGAAGTCAGTGGTGGGAATAGAGTTGGCATGATGATCGGTGTGCATGGGCAATTGAGTGTCTGCTCAGCCTCACAGCTTAGAGGGAATACTAACATCCACCGGTCCCTTTAAAGAGCAGTCCAGTTCTCTTCTCCCAAACCAACCCCCTCCCAAAAGCATTTATCCGCTTTCCTCTTTGATGGTGACTTGTGAATCTTTATCCACTGTCCTATCAGGCAATGTTTTCTGAATCCTGGCCCCTGATGTCTCCAGCTCTTTTACCAAAAATTTTTAATCAGTTCCCTTGAGTAATTGACCCTTCAATCATTCCTGGTTTACATTTATTTATTTACTTAGTTTGAAGCACATTAGAAGCTACAAGGAAAAGGATAACGATGATTGTTAAAACCAGGACGAAGAAACAATATATATGAACGAATTACGTTTTTAAAAATAATTTTTTAAACACATGATTGTCCGCAGCTGAAGTAAATGTTGTCACAATCCTAGAGGACCATGGAGCTGCTTTGACATTAGAGGGAGAGACAAGTGGTGGTTTCACCTGAAGGTTACCAGGCCTCAGATGGGGCTTTCACGGTGAACTCACTGCAACAATACTCTCCTGAACGCTTTTGCAAGATAATGCATGATTGGTTACCTTGTAACCCAACAAATCTTCTCCTTCGCCTGAGAGGTTGGAATGACATACAATAGCAAGTCGTAATGTTTATAACTGTACAAGCTTTTCTCAAGACAAGTTTGGACTGAAAAGTGACAAGTAACATTCACGCCACACAAATAAGAGGGAATTTAACAACGAACCCTTGACATTCAATGGTGTTGCCATCACTGAATCCTTCTCTATTGACATCCTAGGAGTTGCCATTGAGCAGAAACAGAACTGGACTTGCCATATGGAGTTTGCACGTTCGCCCCGTGTCTGCGTGGGTTTCCTCAGGGTGCTCCAGTTTCCTCCCACAGTCCAAAGGTGTGCAGATTAGGTGGATTGGCCGTGCTAAATTGCCCATAGTGTTCAGGGGTGTGTAGACTAGGTGGGTTATCGGAGGGATGGGTCATTGTGGACTTGTTGGGCTGAAGGGCCTGTTTCCACACTGTAGGGATTCTATACGTTGTAATAGAAATATAGTGCCCTGGAGAGCAAATTAGAGGGTAGGAATTCTGCAATGAGTAACTCATCTCCTGGATCCCCAAAGCTGTCCACCATCCACAAGGTATAAGTCATGAGTGCGATGGAATACTCCCCACTTATCTGAATAAGTGCAACTCCAACAACTCTCAAGAAGCTTGACACCATACCTACAAGGATCCACTTCCTTCACCACTGATGTTCAGAAGTATCAGTGTGTACCATTTAGAGTCATGGGAGTCATGGAGCTGATTAACATGGAAACAGACCCTTCAGTCCAACTCATTCATGCCAACCAGACATCCTAATTTAATCTAGTCCCATTTGCCAGCATTTGGCCCACATCCCTCTAAATCCTTCCATATACCCATCAGATGCCTTTTAAATATTGTAATTGTACCAGTATTCACTACTTCCTCTGGCAGCTCATTCCGTACACACCACCCTCTGTGATAAAGTTGCCCCTTAGGTCCCTTTTAAATCTTTCCCCGCTCACCTTAAACCTATGCCCCCTAGTTTTGGACTCCCCTGCCACAGGGAAAAGACCTCCACTAGGCACCCTATCCGTGCCTGTCATAATTTTATAAACTTCTATAAGGTCACCCCTCGGCATCTGACGCTCCAGGAAAAATAGCCCCAGCCTATTTCAGCCTTTCCCTATCGCTCACACCCTCCAACCCTGGTGACATCCTTGCAAATTTTTTCTGAACCCTTTGAAGTTTCCTATGGCAGGGAGACCAGAACTGAACACAGTATTCCAATAGTGGCCTAACCAATATCCTGTACAGCCACAATATGACCTCCCAACTCCTATACTCATTGCATTGACTAAACATCTTCTTCATTATCCTGTCTACCTGCAACTCTGTTTTCAAGGATTACAAGATGCAATGTAGAAATTCAGCACTGCTGCTTGGATGGCACCTTCCAAACCCATGACCTCTACCTAGGAAGACAAGGGCAGCAGATATGGGGAACATCATCACCTGCAAGTTCCCGTCCAAGTCACACAACATCCTGACTTGGAAATGTATTGCTGTTCCTTTAGTGTCACTGGGTCAAAATCGTGGAACCCCCTCCCTAACAGCATTATGGGTCAACCTACAGCACATGGAGTGCAGCGGTTCAAGAAGGCAGCTCCCTACCACCTTTTCAAGGGCAACTGGGGAATGGGCAATAAATGTTTGTGCTGTGCTTTTCCTCAGGCTTAATCGTGGCTTTAAATAAACATAATTGACAGATATCAGTTAATAAATCCAGCTCCCTAAATCCCCTATGGGATTTAAGAGCAGAAACTTGCTTGTAATTTTTAAAGGAGTGATTTTTTTATTAAACCATTCATGGGATGAGGGCTTCACCAGCTGAGCCAGAATTTATCATCCATCCCTATTTGCCCAGAGGGCATTTAAGAATCAACAACATTGCTTTGGGTCTGGAGTCACATGTAGGCCTGACCAGGTAAGGATGGCAGGTTCCTTCTCCAAAAGACATTAGTGAACCAGATGGGATTTTTTTCTAACAATTGGCAATGGATTCATGGTCATCACTAGACTCTTAATTCCAGATTTTTTTTATTGAATTCAAATTAGCTCATGAGGATAGTGAGAGAGTAAAGCAGGATGTGATAGAAGACAGACTAGAGACTAGTTTCTCCCGACAATCTTTGTAGTAATATAGGGCGTATTCTTATAACCAGTATTATTTATAAACTCCTCTTTTTATTAAGTAATCTACATTGCAAAAGGAAATGTCAGAATTCTACCTCATTAGCTCAGCCTTTGTGTATCTTAGTGTTTCCGTTAGGAACTCAGTGCCATTACTATTGGACAGTTCCTTGGGACAGTTCCCAATATTAAATGTGCTGTGTAAAATTAAGTTGCTGTTTAGAATTTCCTGCAAAGGGACCTAGATATCTGACCCCATTATATTTCATGAAGATTTTCTCTCACATCACACTTGCTTCTTTTCTTGTAAATTACCATGTATCTGTGCCTTCTCCATTTAAACCATCATCTTTGATTGATGCGAGAGTATTGCCAGCTGATTAGACAGATTATAGGGGCCATATACTTCAGATGACCAACCGATGAAAGTTTCTTTGTGTCCATAAGACCATAAGATGTAGGAGCAGAAATTAGGCCATTCAGTCCATCGAGTCTGCTCTGCCATTCAATCATGGCTGATAAGTTTCTCAACCCCATTCTCCTGCTTTCTCCCTGAAACCCTTGATCCCTTGATAATCAAGAACCTATTTATCTCAGTCTGAAATGTACTCAATGACCTGGCCTCCACAGCCTTCTGTGGCAGTGAATTTCATAGATTCACCACTCTCTGGCTGAAGAAGTTTCTCCTTATCTCTGTTCTAAAAAGGTCTTCCCTTTACTCTAAGGCTGTGCCCTCTGGTCCTAGTCTCTCCTACCGATGGAAGCATCTTCCCAACATCCACTTTGTCCAGGCCATTCAGTATTCTGCAAGTTTCAATTAGATCCCCCCTCATCCTTCTAAACTCCAAGGAGTATAGACCCAGAGTCCTCAAATGTTCCTCATATGTTAAGCTTTCCATTCCTGGGACCATTCTCGTGAACCTCCTCTGAACTCGCTCCAAGGCCAGTACATCCTCCCTGAGATATGGGGCCCAAAACTGCACACAATACTCCAAATGTGGCCTGATCAAAGCCTTATAAAGCCTCAGTGGTACATCCCTGCTTTTATATTCAAAAATCAGTGAATTCACGTGGGACCATGGACCTTTACAGGGTAGGAAGAAACCTGTTGCTCCATTGTGCCCTTGGCACCTTTCTGAAGAACAATCTGAAACTAATCCCATGTCTCCTGCATCCTCTTGGCCCTTTATCTTGTTCTGCTTTAAATATGTATACACTTATCACTGAGAAAACTGTAAATCTCTGCCTGTGTACTCTATGTAGTCATGTTTTCCAGGCTCCAGCAACTCCATAAAAGTAGTTCCCACACACTCACTCCCTCACTCACTGTCCTGTTAGATACAGCACAGATGACTTGCATGCCAATCAGCATAAGCAGTAAGTGACAGACAGAGCTAAGTGCTTGCACAGCCAACAGATTCAATCCAAGCCATCACCTCCTCTCCAAGATGCACTGCAGTAACCCTTCACACCTTCCAAAACAATGACCACGACAATCTAGAAGGACAAGGGCAACAGGTACTTGGCAACAAGTATCTGCAAGTTCTCCTCCAAACCCCTCACCATCCTGACTTGGAAATGTATGGCTGTTCCTTTTGTATTGGCTCAAATTCTGGAGGGTCTGTCCACAGCACAGGGAATGCAGAAGTTCAAGAACGCACCTTCTCAAGGGGCAACTAGGAATGGGCAGTAAATACTGGCCCAGCCAGCGACATGATCATCCCATGCGTGAATAAAAAAAATAGAAATTGTTGATTAATGCAAAACAAAGATACAGGAGATCTGAAATAGACAAAACAAGAAATTACTGGGGAAACTCAGCAGGTCTGGCAGCATTTGTAGTGCGAGAAACAGTTAACGTTTCAAGTGCAAGGACCCTTCTTCAGAAGTCACTGGGCTCAAAATGCTAACTCTGATTTTCTTTCCCTAGATGCTGAGCTTCTCTGTAAATTGTTGATTACTCATTGCTGACTCTGTAATTGGAAGAACTAATATTTTCCTATTTGTTCTGTCAAAATGCTTCAAAAATATTTTAGAAAATCTTTTCTACTAATTCTCTGCTCCTGTTAAAGCAGTTCAAGTATCTTCCTGAGATCGACAGTGACTTTACTGATCTCAGTATAATGCTGATGCCCATAGCTGCTTATGGTATCTGAACTATGGTATCTATGGTATCCAAACCATTTCTGCAAATTTATCATCACCTGGAGGTAGGGAAAGGGGATAAGAAGATCGATCTCTTACAAAGTGTGCAGGATTCCTTTCTACCAAACAGACTAAAACTCCAATAAGGAGGGTTCAGTATTGTTTTGGCAATTGGAATAAACTAGAGCAGCACAGAAGTACATGTAGGACAACACCTGATCAATCGTGACCATAATATAATAGAGTTTAATATCATAAGTAAGAGAAAAGCTGATTTTCAAGGGCTGAGAATAGAACTTGGAAAGACAAAATAGCTAACTATATCATCAAACAACAATAGTTGTCAGCAGGAAAATATCTGCAGAAAGAAAAGAACAAACTAAATAATGTGTGGGATACCATAAGGGAGCAATTACAGAATAAGAAAGAAACAGCAGAGGGATAACCACATTAATTAAAAGAAAAAGACTTTGATGGAAATGGATGGATAGGATAGTACAATACTCATCAAAAAATGACAAAAATGTTAAATCATTATTTTGCTTCAATATCAGGGAGCTAGAGTATTGACATAACATTGCATGATGTGATGAGCAATAAGATAAGTGCATTTCTAAAATATAAAAAAAGGGATGTAAACTGAATAACTCAGAGGATAAACTCCTGGTCTGGATAGATTCAGATATTTTAAAAGAATCCTGGGAACAGGTGTAAGAGGCATTGCTAATATTTAATGATTCTTTAACAAAGACTGTAGTGGTAGAGGACAAGACAGTAGGAGGAAGCATGGATCTTGAGGCCATCAGTTCATTTCTATCTATGCTATTACATTGACTCTTACACCACAGTATTTGGATGTTTTTAAAGGTCCTGCTAAAACAGTCCTTATTCAACAGGTCTGGCAGCATCTGTGAAGAAAAAGTCATAGTTAACGTTTCGAGTCTGATGACCCTTCCTCAGAAGGGTCAGTTCTGAGGAAGGGTCACCGGACCTGAAACATTAACTCTGATATTTTCTTCACAGCTGCATCCAGACCTGATGAGCTTTTACAGCAACTTCTGTTTTTGTTCCTGATTTACAGCATCCACAGTTCTTTTGATTTTTACTCCTTATTCAATACCTATAAGACCATAAAATATAGGAGCAGAAATTAGGCCATTCGGCCCAGCGAGTCTGCTCAGCCATTCAATCATGGCTGATAAGTAGAACACACTGCATCTACTACATTACCTCTTACTGTCCAGTAGGTAATTTCTTTCAAAGAGGTTTCATAAATTTGTCATACTCAACTTGCTTTGAACTATGATAAATGTACCAATGAAAAGTAGTCAATCTGAAATGTTAACTCTGTTTTTGTTCCTGCAGCTTCTACCAGATCTGCTTGACATCTCAAACATTTTCTAATTCATTTCAGATTTCCAGCATCTGCAACATTTTGCTTTTGTCTTTTAACTCACTTGGCTTTTTTGATTAATATTTCTAAAATGTTAATTCATTATGAGTCTGAAACCTACATCTGGGCTATTCAGTTTATAATTTATCCTTCAATGTCCCCTTGAACAGAAGTCTCACAATAGTTTTCTTCCAAACCCTGCCACAACTTTTAAACTTCTGATCAAAGCTTCTCCTGTTTCCTTACTGGCTTCTTTCAGCAGTCTGGGGTGTTTGCTGCAACAGAACAGTTTTCCTTTTAAACACTTAGTCCTGAATTGATGTGGAGGTGCTGGTGCCGGTGTTGGACTGGGGTGGACAAGGTCAGAAGTCACATGACACCAGGTTATAGTCCAACAGGTTTATTTGAAACCACAAGCTTTCGGAGCACTACTCCTTCATCAGGTGAAGCCACCTCTTGGAGCAACGCTCCAGAAGCTTGTGATTTCAAATAAACCTGTTGGATTATAACCTGGTGTCGTGTGACTTCTGACCCAATCCTGAATTGCACTGTTTTTCATGCATGCCTATACAAAAATCCATGCTTTTTTTTATTGAATAACTATTGGTGTAATTTGCTAGGTGACATGTGTGAGGGGTTGAAGAAGCAAGTGTCAGGAATGAAACGCTTTTTAAATAACAAGGTTAACAGTGTAAGAATCCATCAGCAAATGATGCCTGGTCGAGAAAAACTGAAGGACGAACCAGGGACTTCAGATTTAACATGGCTGCAACGCAATACAAACCAGGCCAATGCCCGTCCTGATGAGCCTCATTCATCCCAGAGTATCATCTGGAAAGATATCCAAAATCAAACGCAGAAATCCTGTGTTTCAGTAGGATACAGTGGCGAAGGATCCAGATCATCTAAACCAGTCATAGCTGCAAACACTGAAAGACTCCAAGGTATGCTAGAAAGCAATGGTATGTGAATTTTTTGTTTTGGAGAGAACATGTGAATTTTAATAATCCAGTTTCTTTCAGAAAGAATGAAAACATACTGTGTACCAAGTGAGTTTTAATGAGCTAAGAAAATGTTTAACCACTCTCCACCCAAAATATTACTGACTCTTGCCTCTCATCAGTTTCCAAAAGATACTCCAACCTCATATCTTTAGAGGTGTGAACATTATGAAGGAAAAGAAATGAAGAACACTCCAGTGATTTCAACATGCTTTTGTTTCTCTGTTCTGTCCAGTAACAGCAAATATACAGAACACCTAAGATATAAACATACCTGATCAATAAAATAGATATTCTTGTGAATTTACAACACAGGACTATTTGCATGCCCACTGCAATGGCAGCATGTAATAGACAGGGCTAGTTAAGGTGATTGGAGGAAGGTATAGGGGAGATGTCAGAGATAGGCTCTTCACAAAGAGAGTGGTGGGTGTGTGGAATGCGCTGCCGGCAGTGGTAGGAGCCTCAGATACTTTAGAGACTTTTAAACGACTCTTGGATAGACACACGGAGGATAGTAA